TTGTAATTATTATTTGGCGGCAATAAATAGATTCGGCGTGGGTATTGGTTATAATAAAATGATATTTTGCCAAATATTCATAGCTCTTAAAATGCTTAGTAAAGACATTGTAGTTGGATAAAACATTTCACTAATAGTAGATTTATGGAGCGTTTATGAATATGAAAATAGGTCTTTGCTGAGATAGTTCCTCTATAATTTTCCTGCTAATGGCTTCAAACTATGTTGACCTAGCGCTGACCTACAGTTATATTATCCTTACAAAATGGAATAACATTAATTTGCCTGAAAAGCGTTTAAGATGGTAAGTCATTTTATTATCTGCAATAAAATGTTAATTTCGTAATGAGTAGTGCCTAAATAAACCATTCAAATCTCTCATAGCCGTTTGCTACGCAGTTGCTACGGCGTAGCTGTCGTAGTAGAGGCGCCGCTACGTCGTAGTAAACCCATTACTTTGAACACTAGATATTTGGAGACGTCGGATTTCGCGTTATCTGCGCCTATCAATCCCGGTCAATCTTCGCAGCATCCCTCCGTGTTCTCAGCGATATATTAGGATGTTATCAGTTAGATAAATGATGTTTTTACATCAGCTGTAGCCGCTGCTGTATCCGGCTACGTAGCCTTATGCTTTTCATGCCTCCATAAATTTGGTATGTTAGGTATAAAGTTAGGGTTGGTATAAAATCGTTCTTATAATTTCAAGACTTTATATCAATACAAACAACAGGTATTCAACTCCTATTGTTTCGGAAACGATACGAAGCCATAGCAAATGATATCGATAAGATTAATTAATTAATGTAACACGAGTACAATCTTTTACATTGTACATACACGATATGTACCGCGTTATTCACAGTGTAAGCAAATCTTTCACTTGTTTTAAATCGGCGGAGAACAACAGGAACATCGAGTTGAGGATCATTTCATAATAGACGATTAAACAAGGGATTTGTTCCAAGTGCCGTACACGGTACACGCGCCCCTGGCTAACGATTTAGTTACACGGTACTTCGGCGCGAACGTATCCGCACATTTTATACATGCTAATTAGTTTATTCTGGAGGAAGGAAGCTCGTTGTGATGTAAGGTTTTACTGTTTTAGGAGTAGATTTTAAGGTTAGAGCTAAGGTAACTTATGTATATCTTTGTATCTTTTTTTACTACGTCATTTCATCATTCTTTGAAAGGAACGCTTCTATTGCACAAAAGTTCAACATCAAAGACAAAGCATTTATTTCAAATTAACCCTTAAATAGGTACTTTTGAAACGTCGACGAATGAATTTGAATTGTCCGCCAACCTGTCTATCAGTGAAGCTAGCTGCTCGTTCCAAAGTGAAGTTTTTAGTAGAGAAGAACGAGCTGGAAACTCCATCTAAGAGAAGGTCTGTATCTTCGGGAACACAGTAAGGTTACTGGTTTTGAGGATGCTGCTATCAGTCTTGCATAATAATGTATCCGAATTTTACATCAACATCATTAATAAATAATGTGTTCAACATCGTATTTTCGTGTTATTCAATCAAGTACAATGCGTGGCAGCCCTGCAGGCGATGGCGGTGGACACTCGCGTCAATATAACCACGATCGCGATCATTCGTCTTACTTCTGCTCGGTCCCTGTATTTATCACTGGAACACGATTCCTGCGGTGACGTCACTTCTGTTCTATTAGCATTCTCGCCAACATCAACAGGAAAATGTTTGTAGGTAATTCAATGTTTAGCAACTATGAGAGTAGTTTAATATAGATCGAGTTTTTGTATAATAACTGTTGTGAGAATTTCAATTAATTTGGAGCGAGTTTGCTGTAAAATATACTTAGTTAAGTAATTGACAACAAATTAAATACTCAGTGGTCCTATTTTTTCTTTTTCCCATGGCTTTTCCCAATTATTTTTTCAGTTTGGTTACTGATTCTTAACCAGGGTTGACTGAATGTTTTACGTATTTAAATTGAGATTAACTTACTTTTTATTGAAGGGAGAAATCATCCAGCCATTTCTTCCGCCTTGGACGAGGCTAGAGGGAGTGTCAGACTCTTATTGACTAAAAACCATCCCATTTCTACTTCTGCTCTTCGAGCCTGAGCCCCACTAAGAGTTAATTATACCCTATTATACAATAACGTAGATTACTTATATTTATTTGAGTATCCGTTTTGAACATTATTTTAAAACATGCTACGTATTTTTTATTTTATTACGTAAACTTTTTAAATAGATAAATATCGCGTGCAATTGGTGGTAACTTTGATTCGCTATATCTAAGTATTGTGTTCTTATACGACAAAATAAAAAATATACATGTCTAATATTTTTTTACTATGTAACTGTATCTATCGATCTATGTAGAAGTTAAATTTTCATACCCCGTCATTATCTCTTTGTATGTCTGTCTGTTTATATTATAATTATGAAACCTCTGATCAAATATAAAACTTACGTACACCGGTAGTTTTGAAGCTTTGATCTCAAGAGTAACAATCACAATATTGGATATGTATGAGTCCACGGTCCCAATGTTTCCTAGTAATCAGTAACTAAGTTTAAATTGTTTGGTTTGCGCTGTCTAATGGGAATTGAGTGTTTAATAATGTTTAGGAATTCCCCGAGGCCACGCGAACTGAGTCAAACGTTACTGATGTTTAATTAATATCCAATATTACAAGTTTATTATAACATATCGTGTTTAGTGATAACATTGTACCTATCAAGCTACCGTGTGATTTGTTTGTACAAGTTGGCATGTTTGATCTTCTTTTGTAATATCAAATTCGAATGTTAGTTATGGGTAATTTACAAAACGTAACCGATTCTGTTTTATTTACATACACACATGGCAAAGTTGTACAAATATATCCCATTAAAAATTTGTTGTATTAAGTTTTATCAGGTCCCGGTACTTTCCTTCGGAGGAAGGCAACTCGCATCGCTCTCTGGTATAAAATCAACAAAAGACAAAAGACAAACGACACTCGTATGATGATTATGAAGAAAGTTTGGAACAAGTCGCAATGACGAGTAATTACTGAACATGTTTGTGCCTCAACAAATAGGGGTGGCGCGCAATGCATCACTCCACGGGCCCTAATTGAATATGTTATGTGTACAGGGTTGTCACACGCCGTCTTATACTTGTTAACAGACAAATTTGATCAATTGAATTTTAAACACAAATGTTGGAGGAAGGGGACACATACACTTAGTACGTTGCAAGATATAGTACTTATTTTTTTTCTTAGCCGATGACTAGCTAGCTTGATTTTCTAGATCTATCCAAGTTATTATTTTAACAGTTTTTGTTACTGATTTCTGCTCGATCCTTAAATGCTCTGTGACTCCTCTGGTGTTGCGGGTGTCCATAGACAGCGCTGATCGCTTACCATCAGGTGATCCGTCTGCTCGTATGCCTCCTATTCCATAAAAAAAAACATAAATGAACAGTATGCCACTTCCATTTCTCTAGGCACAAAATTTAAGAATGCTTTGATGCTATTGTTCTGAATGTATTTTATTCTGTTCAACAGCAGTTGCAACCCTGGCAGACAGTGTTACGGGCTTATTGTAGGAGAAGCATTAAAACTACTTGGGTAAGTAATAACGCGCCGTGAGTGGAGCAACTTGCCTGCCATAACTTTGTGACGTTTGTGTTGTTGCCGCGAGTTCATACCCGCCTCACTATGAATACTGATCAGCGGCTCAAAAGCAGAACCTATCAAATACTGTTTGTGAAATTCTACTGTAAATAATGAGTGACAATTGATTCGAAAATTGAATGGCAAAGTGAATGAAAGAGAGGATGCTACGCAACTTATCATAGGTGAATCTATCTTCTTTAATAGAAAAAAATATCTGCGTGGTCCTCGAATTGTTGTTCTAGATCTGAGTGCGATGTCTGTGTGAATACACACATGACACATGAAATCTCTAGTATGGGCCATGATAAAAAAAAAACTTTGTCCACGTATAACTGACTAATATTTATCTAAATACCGAAAGACGACACAAAGTTTTTTACTTTTTGATTTGTTATTTTCAGGTCAAGATTTACTAGGTCAAAGAAACAGTTCACAAATACGACAGAAACGAAATGGCTTTACTCATGAATAATGTAAACACTATATTTAATAAAATATTTAACGCTTCGATAATCGGAGTGGAAACTGGCAACTAAAGAAGTACAATAAAGAAAGCTTTATTTGATGTAACAGTTTGAAAGTGTTGATTAAATTATTTATGAGCGCCGTCCGCTCTAAGTCACGGGTCCTTTATTACGACGGCCGCTCAAGTTTTGCATATCCACTGTGAATTAGTGCTACAAGATGAATTATGAATTGTCGCTGAGTGCAAATATGCCGCTTGAAAGTAAAGCAGCTACAGTACAGTGCTGCGAAGTAATAAACTCTATTATTGTGTTCCTTTATTAAATTTTTACAGTTTGTAATTGTACGACATGTTTTAGAAATGGAGCAAGCTATAGGTAACGGAACGCGCCCTAAAACAGCTCAGTAGTGCTCAAACAACTATAAAATAGTAAAAATAGTTATAGACTAATAATAGGTTCAGTTTGTTACAAAACGAAAAGCTGGTGTAGAACAATTAACCAACAAGTGTTTTTAGAATGTGTAACAGTGACTAAAACTAATAAACAAATTTTACAAAAGTGCCGTATCATAGTGCCGGACTTCGTGAGCGCACGGAATTATCGCAGCTGCGCGGACCGCATAACGGCGAAAGTCCTGCGAGTGCGCAACCGTCACAGCTACCAACTTAACAACGCTAAAGCGTTCCAGCGACGAACGCAGTGTGCTTGCGACGCATTGCAAATACTCGTGACCAGTGGCGCCACCCCGAACGTGTTTATGTGATCGGGAAACCAACCTTGCTTGAAATAAATAGCTTGTGTGGTCTGAGTCCGATCCCCGCATCTGGATTGTCTTTCTGTGAGTAAACTCAACTCAATATCATCGTATCGAATAATTAGTCACACAATGTCATCGAAGATTGATTCCAAGAATACCAACAGTGGCCGTAAGATGGCACCACTTGTAGTATGCCACAAATGCAAAAAACATGTGAATATAAAAACCACTGCGTTATGTTCGGTCTGCAACCATAGATATGAGCCAGACTGTGTTGGATACCCAGAACAGACATACAGGATGATGGATCAAGAAGCTAAAAAAAAGTGGAAATGCGTCACTTGTATTAAAAACAAAAAGTCAATTAGCAGCGACCTAACAAATATAACACTGAGAAATAAAAAAAAACAAGTAGGTAATACACAACCCCCGACCCAATCCATTATAATAAAAAAACATCAACCTGTAGATGCGTCGCAGATCCATGATTCCCATGTACTTACTGACTATAATTCGTCTTCTGAACCGGATTACACACCTCCAAAAATGTCAAAAAGTTTGGATGGAACATCATCGGATCTGAACTTAGATTTAATATCATTGTTAGAAATGAAAGATACTATATCCCAATTGACTGGTGAACTCGTTAGCACACAATCTGAGCTGGATAAAACATTACTAGAAAACAATGATCTTCAAAAACAAGTAAACAAGTTAACTGCAGAAAATAATATGCTAAAATCTTTATGTCAATCTGCTTCATTGCCAGACGCTAGTTTCCGTAGCAGTATCAAAAAGAAGAGGCACTCCTTGGCATACTGCACAACATCTACCCCATCATCACCTATTTATTCTTCAAACACTAACTACGAATATAAAAACAATATCCCTAAAAAAAAAAATTGAAGATCTACAGCTACAATTGGATAGAGCTAACCTTGAAATTTCAGCTCTGACCAAACAAATAGAGATACTGTCGCAGTACTTACAAAATAAAACTGAAGTCTTGAATCCGACCATGGTTCCGAGAAATCACGAACACAGACTGGAAAAAACTATATTTATATTCGGTACTCAACAATGTGTTGGTCTGGCCTCGGCTCTACTGCAATCAAGATCAAACACCAAGTATGAAAAATATGGTATCCTTGCGGAAACGAATCCAAATGCGAAATGTGATATAATAATTCAGAACTGCATAAAAACAACTTTAAAACCGAATGATAAGCTTGTGATATGTATAGGGGAAAATGATAATAACTTGGGGCAAGTTTTATCACAGTTAGAAGGTTTATTGGATACATTTTACAATAATAGGATAATTGTACTAAAAGTTAGCAATAGTAATTCCTTAAATGTTTCTAAGTTGAATTATAGCGTAGAAAAATTATGTAAAAAGTTTAAAAAATGTTACTTTCTTGATATTGGAAACTTTAAGTTATCAGAGATTTGTAAGTCTATAAATTATGTAATAGATTGTAACGACTACGATGAAAAATACTTATATCCCGGAAATATTAAACAATTTATAATGCGTAATCAACCAAGTAGCAATATAGCTATAAGTAACAGTAAGCCTAAGAAAGGAACAATTCCCTACTATTTCAGTATACAAAATTGCGATAAAACTGAACAAACAATAAACACAGCAGTATCAATCGGGACTATAAATAAAGGCACAATACCTTATTACTTCCCTATATTAAAACATAAAGGAGATATTTTTCGTGTCTAAAACCCAAATATTTAATATTTTGCATCAAAACATAGCGAGTATTTTGTCAAAACGGGAACTTTTAGAAATAACAATTGAGGAGTTAAAAATTGCACAAAAAGAGCCTGACGTAATTTGCCTGTCTGAAACTTTTGTAAAAAAAGGCTATGAGAATTATGTCAAAATATTTAACTATGAATTAGCGTCAAATTTTTGCAGAGAAAAGCAAAGAGGAGGCACCTGTATCTTATTAAAAAAAGGTACTCCCTATAAAGACCTGTCATTCATTAAAAAATATGTAACCCAAAATACATTTGAAGCTTGCGGCATAGAAATTGAGTGTTATAAAATGCTAGTTATTTGCGTCTATAGAACTCCAAACTCGGATCCTACCCAGTTCTTATATAAATTAGATAATCTTTTGAACTACATAACTCATAAATACAAACCGACTTTTCGTATAGTGATAGCGGGTGATCTTAATATAGACACGTTAAAAAAAAGCAATGTGACTAATCACCTGCAAGACATATCCTACAACTATAACATGAAAATTCATATAGATGTGCCAACGCGCAAGTCATCTTGTATAGACCATATTCTGAGCAATATTCCAAATGCTATTACGTCAGTTATGCCTCTCCATCTCTCGGACCATGACACCGCCCAAATGTTGAGCGTTCCTATAAAAAAAAGGATGCATACTTGTACATCTTACTACATATTTAGAAGGGATTATAGTTCGGACAATATTCGCAAATTCAAGGAATGTCTAAATAATATATCTTGGTCACAATTATACATAAAAAATGATGCAAATGCATTTAGTGAATTTCATGAACTGCTTTGCTTATTTTACAATCTTTGCTTTCCAAAAGTGAAAGTAAAAATAAATAACAAAGGTAATAATAATCAATATTGGATTAGCAGGGGCTTAAAAATAAGTTGTCAAAAAAACGTAAGCTACGATATAAATATTATAAAAATAAAAATCCAAATAATAAAATGAAATATATGACATATTCAAATATTTTAAAAAAATGCATAGTGAATTCAAGAAAAAATTCAAATATCAAATTTATTCACAAAAAGGGAAACAAATGTAGGGCCACGTGGGCAGTAATTAAAAGTGAAATGAACGATACAAATTGTACAGGAAACATAGAGAAAATTATAATTGACAACACAACATTAACAGATCCTATCGAAATTGCCACTGCTTTCAATAATCATTATATCAACTTAACGCATACGAGTACCCAGAATAGCATGAAATCATCATCTCGCATTAGAACAACCGGCAACTCGATGTTTCTAAAACCTATGGAGGAAAGCGAGGTTAAACAATTGATAATGTCGTTAGCTAATTCCAATTCTGTGGGATATGATGACATTAATACCAAAATTATTAAAGAGTGTGCAATCCAATTAACTCCTATTTTGACACATTTAGTTAATATGTCTTTTGCATCGGGATCTTTTCCTGATGCCCTGAAATACTCAATAGTCAAACCTTTATATAAAAAGGGCGAAAAATCTGACATCAATAACTACCGTCCAATAACGTTAATTCCCATATTGTCCAAAGTATATGAAAAGTGTATGTATAAAAGACTAATAGACTATTGCAACAAATTTAATATAATTAGCAAAGAGCAGTATGGCTTTCAGGAAAATAAGTCTACTACATTGGCAATATTTTCTCTTGTAAAGGCTATAGTTACCAACATCAATAAAAATAATCTGACCACTGGGCTATTTTTTGACATTTCAAAAGCCTTTGACTTAGTTTCCCATAATTTGTTACTCGAAAAACTTGAATTAGTTGGCATTAGGGGTCCTACACTTCAGTGGATAGCCTCATATCTTAGTAACAGACTACAACGTGTCATCATTGACAGAATAGACGACAGTCAGAATAAGGTGCCTTTTTCTTCAGAATACAAGCACAATAAATATGGTGTACCACAGGGAAGTGTACTGGGCCCTATCCTGTTCTTACTGTATATAAATGACATTATTAATATAACCAATCACCATTGTATATTGTTCGCTGATGACATTAGTATTATTATAACAACAGAAAAATGTAATAATGGTATAAATAATCACGAGAAAGAAATTAATAACACTATAGGAAAATTAATACAATGGCTCGACACTAATAATCTTAAAATAAATCTTAATAAATCCGTATATATCAACTTTAATAAATGTAATAATTCAAAATACAATATTAAACTTAACATATCCAAAATTAAAGAAGTGGTACAGACAAAGTTTTTAGGCGTAATAATAGATGAGAATATAAACTGGAAAGAGCATGTAGATAATGTTTCAAAGAGAATAAATAAATTTGTATATGCTCTCAAACAAGTAAAAAATGTAACCAACTTAAAAACAGCCATTATGACCTATCGTGCATACGTGGAATCGCTACTGCGCTATGGGCTTATAATATGGGGAAATAGCACAGATATGCACCGAGCTTTTGTTGCTCAAAAAAAATGCATTAGAGCAATGTTCGGGATGCAACCGGAGGACTCGTGTCAACCCATATTTAAAAAACTAAATTTGTTACCATTGCCATCCCTCTATATTTATGAAATATGCATGTTCGTTAATAAACATAAAACTTTGTTTAAATCAGTCAATGATGTTAATCCTAGGAACCGGCGTGACCCACATAGACTAGTTCTAGATGATACTGCCAGGCTTAATAAGTATAGTAAAAGCTGCTTATGTAATTGTGTTCGTAAATATTAAGATACCGAGTGATTTAAAAAATTAAATTTTAGATTATTTAAGAATAAACTGTTTGCTTGGTTGAATACGAATAATTTCTATTGTCTTAAAGAATTTATGGACAGAAAATTTTAATACTACATATTTTATAAGTGAAAGATTTGCATGCTAAGTACAATTTTGGCAAAACATGTAAGCTCTTTATAATAATTATTGTAACACCATTTATACCATGTTTTATGCAAATAAAGAATTATTATTATTATTATTAATGAAATACAAAAAAATGTAAATGATTGTATAGGCAAGGCACATCTAGGACAAGATACGTTCGTTCATATAGCCAAAGTTTTGCAAAGCAAACAAACCAAAGTGTACCTCTAACAAATACAAGTGGAAGTGAATGTCGAGGAGAATTTATGTCGTACGCCGACTGAAATAGCGGCTGAATATTTCGCTCCGTATTTTTATACGAAAAGTAGTTATGATACAATCTGTCGGTCTCTCACGCAGCGATAACAAACTAGCAACAATATTTCAATCAAGCTCATCTCCCAAAGTGGACAAACACATCCATTCCGGCCGAACCTTTCTGAAGGCTCGAGAAATATCATAAATATTTGAACACAAACACGACGGTACCTCGGCATAGATCAAAAGGCTGTGTGCCAATACATAGCTGCTGGTAACGTTGACCTTTTGTCTTGCTCCACTCAAATATTTATGAATGAAGAGCTTCCCCGTCCGTAGCGAGCTCGTAATCAAGACCGACGCACTATGGCCGAGGGAATTTTTCTCAATTTTCCTCACTACTTACTATACGTTACTCAGCAGGCTGGAGGTAGGGTCGCACCCGCACTGCCCGTTCTGAGAATATTCCGAATGTTTGTGTTGGCGAGGTACACTATGAGTCGTCAATGGAGCTCGGAAAACGGCACAACAATACCTGTCTCGTTGTATCGGGGCTCTTGTGCGCACTGTGTCGGGGCCGTGCTCGCCTATCGGGGCTGTGCTCGCCTGCCCGGGCCGCACTCGTGATTGCTCGCTAAATGAGTTACGAGCTAATTTGTCGGCCGCCATTAAATTGTCGTGAGCCGTATGAAGAGCAAGTCATTGTGTAATTGTCAGTGTCTCGCTATTGTTTGCCAGCGAGTTCTCAACTATTTACAAACAACTCTTCGAGTGCTGTCTATACGATATTTCCGTTCGGTTTAAATTTTCTTAGTGAAGTACTATTATTAAGGTTATTTAAAAGTATTTAGAGTCATAAAACAAGTCGCTTCGTTAATACATTAAGAAGGACAGCTGATAACATAATAAATGATTAATGTCATCAAGAAAGTTCATCTGATATTTAATAAACATCAGTAAAATGGTACAACAGATAAACTTTAATGAAACGTCAGTCAGTATGATGAGCTCTGGTTAATCAATGCACAGTTATACGTGGCCAGTCATAACTCAAACGGTATACATTAAATTAACTTTGTTCAGTATGCAGGTGAACGATATGAATACTTTTAAATGTGTTTAACACGCTTTCTATTTGCATTTTCCTCAGCTAGAGCTGCAATCCTTCCCAAGTACAGTACACACACACACACACACATACACAGACACACCAAGTATTCTGTTCAAGTACAAACATTTCGTGTTCACTCTCTGCTCTCCCGGAGGACGCATTTACTCGTGACGTCAGTTGTTCAATCTTCATGCAAATTCTCACTTGCATTTAAATTTTACATTTAAACATAGTTTGGGTAACACCTCAAGGTGAAACTAAAGAAAGATACATCAGCGCTCGTGGCACAGAAGATAGTAAACCGACATGAGTACTGCCTAGCCTCGTAAAGTCTTCAGTTAGTGCCCACAGTGGGTGACCTAGGCCATGCATTTTATTCATTCTGTTACACACGAGAAAGTAATACGTGACTCAACAAGAATTCAACGCTTGACCACGGACAGAATTAAGTTTGTGGGACACTATATCCCGGCTGCTTCCTCGTAATCCCAGAGCTGGGCAAACCCACGCCGGCGTACTAACTTTGCCTGAGCTTACCTAGATTAGAAAACAAGCCGGATAGTAAACAAGCGTCCGTTATGGCAGCTACAAACATTCTACACTTTTAAGTATTTTTAGCAAAATAAAAACTCTGTCAGAATCTTGTTTGAGCACTTTCAAGCTTCAATAATGCGTTTATGGCGTCATAATGCGCCAACCTGACGCTCTCAAAGTTCACACACACGGTAGACATGAAGTACCGTGCAAGTTGAGG